GGGAATTACTCTCACAGTTTTTAAGGTAGAGATTAAGTAAAAAGATCATTAAATAAAGTTTTTAGTTATTTATTTTAATTAAGTTTATCTTCAACCAGCCTGTTTCTTCAGATTCAACCAACTCTAAGTCAAGTTGACCCAAAAAAATTTTTCAGACAAAGCTTTATTCTGGTTTGTAATTGCATCAGGGTTATTCCATATAAAATCACCTAGTGAAAATTTCAGCTTGATTGACCAAATCGTTCAAAAGTTATAATTGAATCAATAAAGACTGAAATGAGCAAAATTTGAGTATCTGGAGCTTTCAATAGATTTTTAACAGATCATAACTTTTTAAATAAAATAGACCGGAAACTTTATATGGTAATAGTTTTTCACCCAAATTATCTATTTTTGTAGGTGTTTTTGACTGATTTCAAACAATATTTGAGTTCTTGTACCTCAAAGTTGCTAAATAATGCAATATTATGCAATATTATGCAATATTAGAAAAAATTTGGAAACTTCAATGTGCAACAGTTTAATATCAACAGACAAGCTGTGCAAGTTTTTTGTTACTTTTGTTTACTTAGAATAACAACTTGCAAAAAAAATTAAAGCTATGAGTTATTTTAGAACTTGCAGCAGCCTGTTAAAATATCACTTTTTTAAAAAAATTTGATAATTGCATTCACTTTGTAGGCATAGAAAGTAGCATAGACAGTTAAAATAAATTATAAAACTTTTTACTGGCAAGGTTCTATATATAGACACCAAAAAAAATTTTACTTATGACATGATTGTAGCTCTATGACTTATGTGTATATTTTTTCCCTGAATAAATATTATCAGTTTTCCCTAAAAGAACGTTATCAGTGTCTTAACTTAATTTATTTGATATGATTTTACAATATGTATTTGTATAATTTTATGCATATAATATAATTATAATGATAAAATTTTCACATTGTTACAATTTGATTGTAAAATATTTCAATTCAAGAGTTTCTATTAAAATCTAAATCTGTGCAGTATTTTTTGAAAAAGAAAAGAAAAAACCTGAGGCTAAAATAGGACAGCCATTGGAAGATATTGTTAAACAAAAAGTTATTGAAATTTATAAATCCGAGTTCACAAGACAATGTCCAGGAAAAAAATACTTTGTTTCTATGCATATAAATATAGTAAAAGTTCATAACGTATAAATTTAAACAAAAACGTTTATATTTTTTGATTAAAAAAACTTTATCTTGAGTTTAAAAATCTTAACCCTACACACAAAATTGGTTTCAGCAAGTTCTGTGAACTAAGGCCAAAGTGGTGCATCACAGTTGACAGTAGTGGAAGTCATTCAGTTTGTGTATGTTCTTATCATCAAAATGCACTGCTTTACCAAGGGCAATTTAATATATTACAAAGATTTGATAAAAGTATGTGTTTGTAATATAGATAGTCAAAACTGCATGTTTCATCTATGTTCCAACTGCCCCAGTAAAGTAAATTTGAAGACTTACTTGGAAAATATGTTTGAAAATAGTGATTTTTTGATTTCAACGATCAGATCACATACAAACAATGGGTGTCAACTGACTAAACTGCACTTGTCACTGTCCAAACAAGCATAATTGAGTTTATTAAAACTTTAAGTGAAACTTTGTATGACCTTTGTCACCACCACTTTATCAAAGAAGCACAATCCTCCTACTTATCAGAGGAAAAAAGATCATTAGATCTTATGGATTTTGCAGAGAATTATAGTTTTTCTTGTGCAAGATGCTGTACACGGTTTTTACTAGCAAGCCGATCAAATTACCTTGCATTCATTTGCTGTTTATTACAAAGATAAAAAAAATCAACTCAAATGTAAATGCAATTGTACAATTTCTGACCATTTTCACCATGACCAAACAACAGTTCATTGTTTTCCCCAATGATCAAAAGCAAACTACCTACAATAAATAAAGTAAAATACTTCAGCGATGGTGCTGTGTCACAGTACAAAAATTACAAATGTCTGTTAAACTTAATGTACCATCTTGAAGATCACAAAATCCACCTGGTAAAAATAATTTGTCTCCACCTGTACTAGGTGGAGACAAATTATTTTTACCAGGCAGAGACGAATTAAATTTAAAATGGACTAATGAAGCATGATCAAGTTGTTGGGCTCTATTTGACAAAGTAATATGTCAAATAAGTGCTCAATCTGTTAAGGGTAGAAGTGCTCGTGAATACAAACTTGCTAATATTGATTATATAACTATTATGAATTATGTAAATCAGAGATAAAGAAATTAGTGTACTTGTGTTTCATGTATACATACACTTCTTTTTTCAGCCTTTTTATTTTTTTTATTTTTTTGAAACATAATTTAACTTATGCTATTAGGTATCTTTTTAAACTAAAAAAGCATTGCACTCAAAATGCTAAAATTATGTCATAAGATAGAGAATAGATCTTTGAATCTTTTTGGGTGATTTTCTATATATAGACCTTGATAGTAAAAAGTTTCATAACTTATTATAACTGTCTACGCTACTTACTATGCTTACAAAGTGAATACAGTATATCGCTTTTTTTTTTAAAAAGTAATATTTTAACAGGCTGCTGCAAGTGCTAAAATAACTTTTAACACGTAATTTAAATTTCTCCTGCAAATGGTTACTCTAAATACACAAGAGTAACAAAAAATTGGTACAGCTTGTCTGTTGGTATTGAACTGTAGCACATTAAAGTTTCCAAAATTTTGTCTAATATTGCGCTATTTAGCAACTTTGAGGTACAAAACTCAAAAATTGTTTAAATTTAGTCAAAAACACCTGCAAAATTTAATTATTTGGGTTAAAAGCTATTACAAAGTTATACTCTGTAAAAAATCAAAAAAATTTACTGTAAGCTCCAGATACTTGAATTTTTCTGATTTTTGTCAATATTAAATCATTCATAACTTTTGAATGGTTTGGCTTATCAAGCTGAAATTTTGAGTTTTTTTTTTTTTTCATAAATATTATGGGTGATAAAAATTTGAAGCAAATTTGAGGCGGTATCCTGGGGACCATTGGGTGATTTGATATGGAATGACCCATAATGCTTTTTGCTTGCCAGTTACCCTCATACACTTTGCCAAATAGCCCAAAAGTCTTGGTTTAGGTACACTCCTGTACGGCTGGCAGATTGGCAACTATTTTTGACAAAATTGATGTTATGATTCTCATAGCAGTTGGTCACGGTTTTAGCATAATGCAATGAGGCCAGGTCCGGCCAAAATACATAATTACCATCGACATGATGAGCGTTGATTAACGACACTAATCTTCTTTTATACAATCCATTTTGTAGATGGCTTTATTGACTGCAAGGCCACTGGGGATGAAAAATGGCTTGGAAATACAGCTAGGGTTCCAACTTGCACTTTTTTGCAATATTTATAGCTAGGTGGAGTCTTGTTTCTGTCACTAGAGTAGTAGGTGCTGTTTCCGTTATTCGTTGAATTAAGGATGACTGATTTTCCTTGAAAATCCTGGTAGAGACGATCGATCTCGGTCTTGATTTGCTCAATC